AGGGTAAATATATAAATAAATAAGCTTAGCCAGAGCTTTGGTGGTGTAGCAGTCAGTTTTGAATTGAAGATGCTACTCATGGCAACCCCCATAGACAAACCCACAAGGAAAGCAAAAAATAATGCAAGTTGCAGTGTTGATCTAATGCAGGGGTCCTCAAACTTTTTAAACAGAGGGCCAGGTCACAGTCCCTCAAACTGTTGGAGGGCCAAATTATAATTTGAAAAAATGCATGAATTCCTATGCACACTGCACATATCTTATTTGTAGTGCAAAAAACACTTTAAAACAATACAATAATTAAAATGAATAACTATTTAAACAAATATAAATTTATTAGTATTTCAATGGGAAGTGTGGGCCTGCTTTTGGCTGATGAGATAGGATTGTCATTGTTGCTGTGTGCTTTCAAGTCATTACAGACTTAGATTGACCCTGAGCGAGGGCCAAGTAAATGACCTTGGAGGGCCGTATCCGGCCTCCGGGCCTTAGTTTGAGGACCCCTGATCTAACGGTTCTGGCAGTGTCCATTTCTACCAGGAACAAGTCATTTTCAAAATTCAAAGGTATTAAATGTTTACTCATCACCAAGCAACAAAACACATTGCTTTACAACAGGGCTAGTGCAGTGGTTCTCAACCTTTGGGTCCCCAGATGTTTTGGCCTTCAACTCCCAGAAATCATAACAGCTGGTAAACTGGCTGAGATTTCTAGGAGAGATTTCTAGGACTTGTAGGCCAAAACACCTGGAGACCCACAGGTTAAGAACCATTGGGTGAGTGCAAAAAAATAAAATAAAATTCTGGGACAAGAGTCATGTCAAAAAAGTTTTATTAGGCATGATTAAAAACATGTGCTGAAGACCAACAGATAAAATAACTTCATAAACATGGAAGAAAATCTATCCCAACCCTTCATCAACCCAAATTTTATACCGAGCGAACAGCTTTATTGCCAGGGTTCTCTTCCAATGTTCTGGAGAAAAACAATGCACACGGGTTCCGTTTGTGCATCCTCCTGGCTGTTGCTGAATCAAGTCCTACCGCTGTCAGGTATAAAAATATCTTCTAGTTATGGTTGGATTGCAGGGACCTCGTGGGGGTTAAGAAATCATCAGCAGAAGAGCTCTGTCTTTTTTTCCTTTTTTAAAAAAGATGTTCTTTTTTTAAAAAAAACATACTACAAGGAAATTAGTAATTCTTTTTTTGACCTTTAGACTTCATACATGACGTCGATTTAGAATGGACAACCACAATTTTTTCCTCCTTTCCTGTAATTAATAATAATAATAAAAAACAAAAAAAATCAAAACGCTTCATTCACAGGCTGCTTCTTGGGATCGACTCAGAAGGTACATTTACACTGGTTTGAGGACGAAGACAGCATCATCTAAGACATAGTAGTCATTATACATATCACCTTCACATAAGTAGGGCAGTCTAGTGAATGCCTCTATGGCAAAGCCAGCTTTTTTGAAAACCTCTGGCAGGCTGTTCACTTGTTCCTCCCATGTCAGTCCTTTGATGTCCAAAACTTCAGAAGGCTTGTCCCACTTGCCACCTACTGAGAGAACATACGGGTTTCATTAGCATTTATTTTTCATAATTCATATCGAGTCTCAATCCTGCCATCTGGCTGAATTCATCTAAGAGGAGAAGTCCATTTATAAACCAATCTACTACAAAGTGGGCAAAACTAATGGGTTGGAAAGCACACAAAAGGGAGGGTAAGCGTTTCCAAAACAGTGAGAGACCCATGGAGGCTTGCAAATAGAAGCAATAATCAGCTCAACAAAGTAAAAGTATAAGGAAGAGTGAATTTCTTACTTTTTGGTCAAAACAATGAAGAAATCTGTGGCACTTTAAAGACATATTGCCAGGGTTCATGCTATAACAGTGGTTCTCAACCTGGGATCCCCAGATGTTTTTGGCCTACAACTCCCAGAAATCCCAGCCAGTTTACCAGCTGTTAGGATTTCTGGGAGTTGAAGGCCAAAAACCTCTGGGGACCCCAGGATGAGAACCACTGCGCTATAATAAATTGGGTTGTCCGTAAGGTGCCAAACCATTGGTTTTACTCAATCAGACTGACTTGGTCACTCCTTCAGATCCTATCAGGCAGAGCAAGGTGGACTTTTGTGGCCCACCTGATGCTCTTGGCTTGCAACATCAGCTGAGGCACCATTATTAATGGTGAGGAATTCTGGGAGTTACTTTCCAAAAACATTGAAGAAGCCACACCAGCTCACCCTTGTGTCCAGGAGTCACAATGCTTTTCACTTCATGGGTGGGTGTTCCTCGGGTTTTTAACTGTCAGTGGACCCATAAGGTTTTCATGAATGGTCCATGGCTGGTCTAGAGACCCATGAACAAGGTGCTATTTTTGTTCTTCTGATTTATAACAAAGAGGTTATAAATATTGCTTTGACTAACGATCTCTTGACCATGCTGTGCTTCCTGCATGGTTGTGTTCCTCTATGCCAGTGGTTCTCAACCTGTGGGTCCCCAGATGTTTTGACTTCCAACTCCCAAAATCCTAACAGCTGGTAAATTTCTGGGATTTCTGGGAGTTGTAGGGCAAAACACCAGGGGACCCATAGGTTAACAACCACTGCTCTTTGATAAGGATCAAAACACCAGTGTGAAAAGAAGCTCATGAAATTTAAGCTTCAGGAAAACTTCCACTATGTGCCTTTCCCTCTATCACGCAGCATTCCCCATTATATGTCTGGCCTTCCTAGCCTTCACTGATTTCTGGACAAGATTGTAGAGTTGTTGAACCAAGCATTTGGGTTTCAATGAGTGAATGTTGGTGAACAAACTGCAGTGAACATGGGGCCTGCTTTCAGTTTTGGCAAAAAATCCACTGAAATTTTTAACTGTAGCAGAGAAATCCAAGACACCCAACCAGTTATGCTGGAGAGGGAAAATAAGTCCAATGATAAAAACCGATATGGAATCAACCCCTAAAATTATATATAAAATTTAAAAAATATAATTTTTTTCAGGGAAAGCGGGGGAGAGTTGAAAACACATGATATTAAGTTATGCTTCTTTCAAATGATCTTGAATGTCCTTAAAACTGACATGACTTTAGCCTTGAGTTATGTTCAAAACAGTATTTCAGTGCAGTTTCTTTGAGGGAAGTGAAAGAATAACTTGGAAGGAAGAGTGCAGTCGCAACCACTAAACCACTAAACCTTACAAGACAAGAACAAGAGCTACTGTACTCGGCACGGTTCAGCAGATAGGCAAACAACTTGCAGCTATGGTCTGTTTTACTGCCAGGGAATCACTTGTGGAATATTTTGTTTCAGGAGCCAAATACGTTGACTACTTTTGAGTACTGCTTTGAGTAGGTCATGTATAAATGTAATTTGCTGAAACACATCATGCAGCAAAATGCTTCAAGCGCGCCCTGGAGAGAAGACACATTTATGGAACTGGAATCTGTTCATTCAGAGGGAAGGCAAATATGATCTGTGCTAAAAACTGAGACAGCCAACTTTCATCAAGTAAGCGAAGGTATTTTCAGAAAACAGAGCCCTATGCTTCCCCTAAACATACGCTTGGGAAGTTCCTTTCTTGAGCAACATGAGGGCATTAACTAAGAAGAGTTTCCTATTTTGGTGCTATTTCAGGGTGACTTACTTCCACTTTCTCAAGCTAAACCCTTTCAGAGGAATCTCACAGGCAAAATGATAACGTCCACACAATGGGTTCTGATTCTTGAAGTTACCTGGCTATCATATTGTGCTGGTAAGGAATTTTTTTAAATCAATGCTTTCTGCTATTATTGAGCTATAAAATAACAGTCAACAGGGCTAGCCCTATCATAAAGCAAAATGAAGTAATTGCCTGCTTGATGTGCCCTGGTTGCATTTTTTCTTACTAGTGGTCGGGAGAGCTGCTTGAGAAATTTTCTGCTTAAATCAAAATACCTTGCTTGGCTTTGCGGATTTATAGACTTGAATGTTGTTGGGGGCAGTTGTGACCCTGCCTAAGGATGGTCTTGAGTTTACACAGATTTCTTACACAGAGTAACAGAAAATTACTCTCCTGAGTAAACCTGGACAGGAGTGGGTAAGGCAAATAGGGAGAAACAATTTCCTGAGCAAGTTATTTCACAAATTTAGAGGGACACATCACATCCTGCCTCACCCTACTGTCCATGGAGCAGCTGACAGTTCTGTGGAAATAAACCACAATAGTTCAGAGGATTTATTCGCTAATAAGCATGATTGAGAGTGAACATAATCACTAGTAGTCCTAGCTGGGCAGAGTAGAAAAAGCAAGAATGAGAGCAGATCTCAAACATCAACAGAACAGTCACCTTGAAGACTACCAATGCATTGTTGAAGGCTTTTATGACTGGAATCACTGGGTTGCTGTGAGCTTTCTGGGCTGTATGGCCATGTTCCAGAAGCAGTCTCTCCTGATGTTTCACCCGCATCTATAGCAGGCATCCTCAGAGGTTGAGGGGTCTCTTGGAAACTAGGCAAGTGAGGTTTATATATCTGTGGAGTTTCCAAGGTGGGAGAAAAAACCCTTGTCTGCTTGAGGCAAGTGCGAATGTTGCAATTGGCCAACTCGATTAGCATTTGTGAAGAGTGGCACTCTAAAAGCAAGGGAATTCCAGACAAGAACCAATCAGGGCCAGTTAACACCTCCCAACAAAGGATTCTTCCAGGCAGCAACCAGCCAGGCTTTTAAACGGCAAGGCCATTAAATGCTAATCAAGGTGGCCAACTGAAACATTAACACTTGCCTCAAGCAGACAAGAGCTCCCTCACCCTGGACATTATTCCACAGATATAAAGTATAAACCTCACTTGCCTAGTTTCCAACAGACTCGTTAACCTCTGAGGATGCCTATCATAGGTGTGGGTGAAACATCAGGAGAGAATGCTTCTGAAACATGGCCATACAGCCCAGAAAAATCACAGCAACCCACTAACAATGCACATTTCCCCCCTTTTCAATAGGTGTTGAGTCTGTTGACCATTGTGCAGTGAGTGTAAGACAACCTCAATCCATGGATGGTTTTACCGAATCCAGCAACATTACTATATCATGCACCTTTTCTGCTCAGAATTGTCCCACATCATCCCTTAATATTCTATGGTTTCGGTATCTTGCAAAAACCCATGAAGATTTGTGTACTCCTGTGTGTAAAAACAGAACCAAGTTCAAAGTGCTTCGCCCAGCAGATGATCAGACTTTGCTTCAAATTAACACACTCAGTGTGGACGACAGTGGAATTTACTATTGTGGGGTAGCATTTCCAGATTCCAGAGCACCCACCTCCAAGACTACAGGGGAAGGAACAGTGTTAGTGATCAGAGGTCAGTTGCAATTTTGAGTTTTTTTAACACTTTATTTAAGAGATCTAAAATCCACTTTCCTATCAAAGAATGCACCCAAATATTGTTTATCGTGTGATTTTACAGGTAAAATCATATGGTACCGGGCATGCTCTGTATACAGAAATCACTAATTTCATCTTTAGTATTACAAGGAGAAAGAAAAAAAACACCCCTACCTGAAACTCTAGTGAAGTTTTACCTATTGGATTTAGTACAAACTGCCTGATAACAGAATTGCTTCCAAGCTGAACTCAAGAGGCTGTTACTTCTTTACAAAGTTTTAGCTTTGAGGTAAATATCTAAAAGGCTGCATCTTGCCTATATTTTATGATTCTCAATGGAGGATCTTTTGTATTTTTAATCACCCCAAATGGCTGAGTTAGTGGGCACATATGGAGCCGCGGTGGTGCAATGGGTTAAACCCTTGTGCCGGCTCGATTGCTGACCTGAAGGTTGCTGGTTTGAATCTGCAAGACAAGGTGAGCTCCCACCTGTCAACTCTAGCTTGCGGGGACATGAGAGAAGCCTCCCAGCAGTATGGTAACACATCCGGAAATCCCCTGGGCAACGTCTCTGTAGATGGCCAATTCTCTCACACCAGAAGCGATTTGCAGTATGTTCTCAAATCGCTTCTGACACGACAAAAAAAAGTGGGCACACAAGAGCGGACTTTCTCTCTTGTATATCTGCCAACCTGGACTGTGGAATTGCATTGCAAGGGAAGCTTGGCATACTTTAAATATGTCTGAAGTTCTAAAGGTGACCTTTGAAGGTAGAAAGCAAGATATAAAGCATTAATATAAAACCAGAGCCCAGATTGGAATGAGGGTGACAAAATAATTCATACTATAAATCTGATATGAAATAGGGAAATAAACCACATATCCTGTATTATTTTTTGTTTGCCATTAACACAGAAACTAAGATATACAGCCAAGGAACTATCAATATCATGGTGGCCATATCACTGCTGCTGTTCTTATACATCACAGCAATTTTGGCAATTTTGAAGTTCTTCTCTAAGGTATGTTCATGACTGTATCTTTCTTTATTTGTGTCTGCGTAAGCATCAAAGCATGTACACGGCTTTTGCAATGACTCTGAAAAAAGTTAGTTTTTGGACTACAATTTCCAGAATCCTTGAACTAATGAAGTCTCTGTATGATGTATAAGAGATGCATGTCTTTGTTCATGTACACATTTATTATAGAGAGACAGTAACACTCTCTGAACTACTGCAAATTATCTCAATCTGGGGCAAAGTAGAATTGAGAGCATCAGATTTTCTTTTAGAAGTGTCAAATGAATATTAAGACACCTTACTTAGTTAATGTAGTACTATTAGCCTATTTTCTGCATTGGACAACTACAATACGCTCTTTCATCTGAACAGAGTTTACAAGCTGTATCTGGTCCAAAATGCTCTGCCCAGGCTGCCCAGAGCGGTTAATAGGAATAATGCTACAAAAATGAATTAAAAAATGGCATCCCCAGTCAATTTCTGAGTGCAATCCCAATGCTCTAATCCTGATAAGAGCCTAAGTAAGGTACAGTATGGAAAGGGTGACCTATGGGGCAACATGTGTTTCCCAAATCCCACTTTGTCAGCTCTCAAAATCCCCTCTAAGTATTTAATATTGTTTTCAGTTTTTTTTGCATGGATTTCACTCAAAAACTATTCCAAAACACCTGCAAATCACATTCAAATAGGGTGGTTAGCCCCTCATTCCTTTAAAACTGAGTGGTGACATGTCATTTGGAACTTATTTTTGGCCTCTTTCTAAGAGTTTTACTTTGTCCTCTCTTTGGTGACATTCCACTGGTGGACTTTGACATTTCAAGCGGCTTTTGAAATTTGTTAACTGATTTCCATTGGCTTCTTCTTACTGCTTGCAGATCTTAATCAGTGCTATTTTGCTTTAGTGCAATTAATAGCCTTAGAAAATTAACACATGGTGAGTTTAATATGTTCTAGTTTGTATTCAATATATATTCTTCCTTGCTTTTAACATTATTTTTATGGGATAGGTTGGATCTAAATAATTCTTAATACATCAATAGTTGAGTTCAGTATTAGAGTGGATAGATTGTAGGTTGGCTTTCAATGCTTCGAAACCTAATCAGATTAGTCATTTCAAGTTTGGGACTCTAGAAACAGCAAATCAAAAATAATTTCCCAGTCTCTGATTGGGATCTACTACAAACTGATCTAATCAGTATCTACAGAAACTACACTTTTGGTCTATTTAAATTATCTTCAATTGTTTTAAACTGTTTAAATTGATTTTACTTGTACACCATCTTTAGATAATGTGACATAGAGAGGGATACAACTACTGTATTCAAATAAATCAATGTCCTATAACCAGCAAGAGTTTTTACTCTCCAGTGAATTAAAAACACAGATAAGAAGCTCCCCCTTCTCTCAAATTTAATCAAAAGTGCTTTTTAGAAGTCATCCAACTTCTCCACTTCAGTCCCATAAAGATAATGTGTCAGTTCTCCATGCAGCAATATTATTTATTGCTTGCAAAGGATGGCAACTAGACCTGAAAAATCAGAACTACATCCCCTAACATTTGCAAGGCTACCTTCTTTGTTATTTACTCAAACCATGTGCATTTCCTTTCTTTTATAGCCAAAATGTAAGAAATCTGAAAACGATGACCTGAGAGGGAAACAAAATGTTCATGTAAGTGTTAGCTATTTGAGAAACTACAGTAATAGCAAATCATTACCTGGTTGTGGCTTCTGGAGAAAGAAAGAAAGAAAGAAAGAAAGAAAGAAAGAAAGAAAGAAAGAAAGAAAGAAAGAAAGAAAAGGGAAGGGGTATCAGAAGGTACAAAACAACAAGACACAGAAATAACTATGTATGTGGGCTGGAATCCTCTTCGTGATTTATAACTGTGCAAATGTGGTTGCATCCCAAGAAATGCTCTACTGGACACTGCAGGAAGAGGTATCCTACATCTCTTTCAGAACTTTTTCTCCATTGTGCAAAGGCAGCTGGATATCTCTAGGGAGGAGCTCCACTTGACTGAAACACCACTGACTGGCTACAGGGTTTGTGTCTATGTACCCCTGGGTGCCATTCAGTTGCTTCTTCCTTTCTGAGGCCCTTGTGTTTGTGACGCTAAGGCATACCAACAAAGTCTACCAACCAAAGTTTCCTTCTTGCCGCTTTCTAAAAGGGAAAGGAAGAGCAGCACACAAAGTGATAGGATGTATGGTCCAATTGTATAAAGATTGTATAATCTTTATACAATCTTTATACAGCCCTGCAATAAGTTAAATCTTCAGCTTTAGGGTGTGCAATTTGGGGCCCACCAGTCATCACTGTACTGCCCTCATGGTCATTCCCCATTCCTGTTGCAGAACTACTGGGCTAGATAACCTTTGTGTCAATATCAGGGGTGTGAAGCTTAAGTCATCCAGTTTTTTTTGGACAACAGCACCCATAAAACCTTGTCAGCATGTTGCAGAATGATGGGAGTTTGGGGACCAGAAACAGCTTCCTACCCTACTTTAAACAACTCAACCCTTATACATCCTACTAAAGGGCAACAACAACAATCTTTCTTTTAAAGTCAGCAATATTTTTCATATTTTCTGTTTATATATCAGACTATGTGATAAAGGTGAGACCAGGACACTATTCAAAACTTTTTTTTTAATTTCCCAGGCTAAAGAGACCAGAGATGCTTGTCAAGCAATTGCAAAGGAGATCTACAAAAAGAAGAAAAGAAAGCAATGGCCTGTAAGTAACCAGTAGCATCAAAACTGCAAGTCAGTTCTGGTGTGAGAGAATTTGTCATCTGCAAGGACATTGCTCGGGGACGTTGCCCGGGGATGCCTGGATATTTTACCATCCTGTGGCAGGCTTCTCTCATGTCCCATGAGAAGCTGGAGCTGACAAATGGGAGCTCACCCTGCTCCCCGGATTCGAACCGCCAACCTTTTGGTCTGCAGTCCTGCTGGCACAAGAATTTAACCCACTGTGCCACCAGGGGCTCCTGGTCTGTGACTGAAAGTCATATGAAGATGCTACATGATCTTTTTTCCTCAATTTTCTTTTGTCTGTAAATTATTGAACGTGCTACTTTCCTTTCTTTCAGAGGCATCTGGCTAACATCAGCAAAAGACATGTACCATCCTAGTCACTTTTTTATTTCATGCGTCACACAGCTGAGGATGTGATTCAGATGCTGAACATTTGCAAGAAAAAGATCTCTATGAAGACCATCATTTACCAGCAAAGTATTTTGCACAGAAACGGCATCCTAAGTAGAACATTAAACAATAACATAGCATTTACTTGTTGCCCAGGAACTGCCAGGACCAAAAGGCTTTATGGATGTGCAAAGTGATTGGTAAGGTAAACTGTATGAGAGAAAAGACTTAACTATCAGATTTCATCAACTTAGTGCCTTCCAGATTTCTGTGGACAATTATCTTTGTAGAAAGGCCAATAAAATTATATTCCAAAATATCTGGAGAGTCTTTGGAGGACATTGCCCTCGGGGCAAAACATCTTCCTAGGTCTAAAATAATATGCTTACCATAATAATATGGTGGCTGGCTCATTTCACCAGAAACAACTCATAAAGGCTTTTTTTTTAAAAATTGTTTGGAAAAAAACTCCCTTTCCTGGTTCTCCCTATTTTTGACCTTTGACCTATTCCCTGGCTTTGGCACTTTTGGGTTAACATGGTGGGAATCTAAATATATACAGGACCAAAGATTGAGAACCACTGACTTTTCAAAATATATTCAGATGTTATATTCCAACCCTTTCAAAAGAAACTGAAGTGTATTTTTGGAATTTAAGATAGTGAAAATGCAAGTGCCGGTGAGTCTTGCACCATATGTGCATGTGAAAAGTATTTCTATAGATACATCTGTGTTTCTCTGACATCCTCCAACAATATCTTCATTAATGGTTTTATTAAAACTTTATTATCTAATTCCAGCTCAGATACACCATAGAATAGTCACAATTCTACTTTTTGTACATATATATTCAACCCTAGTAAAGCCATCCAGATGTTGTGGTATCATAACTCCCAACATTCTTCATCATTTGGTATGCTGCTGAATGCTGCTGGGATTTGCAGTTACACAACAACTGCATGATCCCCACCTTTGCTTCATAGATTCTAATGGAACCTCAAGCTATGGAACAAATGCGCAGAGAAGTCTTAAGGGTCCTGTGGCCCTTCCTCCTTTTGTGCACCACAATTCTCCTCTTCAAGTCTAGTTTGGAAAGTGATATAGCTTATGGTATTGGCTGTACTACCAAACCACTGTTTGTGTTTATCCAACAATTATGATGCATGCAAATACAGTTGCGGTATATTGAAGGACACATATCTTGCAAGAAAAAAAAGGAGATTGTTTGCCCTTTGTTAGCATGTGTCCATGTTTGTTTATTTTCCCTTGGGTTATTTGCCTTTGATTTAATTTTAGTTTATCCTTTCAATCTATTCACTTTATTTCTTGGGTATTTACATTGGACTGAACTAATATGTAAGACTTTTTTATTTTAATGTATTGTCGAAGGCTTTCATGGCTGGAATCACTAGGTTCTTGGGGTTTTTTTTCGGGCTACAGGGCCATGTTCTAGAGGCATTTCTCCTGACGTTTCGCTTGCATCTATGGCAAGCATCACTACCTCTGAGGATGCTTGCCATAGATGCAGGTGAAACGTCAGGAGAAATGCCTCTAGAACATGGCCCTACAGCCCGAAAAAACCCACAAGAACCTAGTTTTGTACTTTGATAAAACTAAAACGGAACATCTATGTGCACACATGGTATTTAAAAAAAACTGAGAAATCATACAAGTTAGCTTGGGTTTGTAGTGAAGAGGACTTCTGTGCAACTAGAGAAAAACTCTTTGAACCTGGAGAGAAATGCAGGACATCTGGAAAGTGCCTGTTCTTCTATTCTGACTGTGGGCCATGGTTGTCTAAAATCTCCAAAGTGAGTCCTTGTAAGGGCTGCTTCACATGTAATTAGAAGTACGGTGCCTGCTTCTTCTGCATATTAATTTACTACGGTTCTATGGATTGGCTGTGCCACTTGGCATAACTTCTAAACATTCCCACAGAGTACAAGAGCAGCCACAAATGTGATGCTCACCACAGAGCTACCGGCAAACCATAAATCAGCCTCCAATTCTAAGAACTCTGTCATAAAGAGTCCTTCTAGTATGCCACAGCTTGCATTCCACACCCAGCATTTCTCCATTCTCCCTTTCCCAATCACTGGCTCCACTGACTTGCTTTTAATTTGGAGTGACACCAGTTTTTAAAACTTGCCTGACTAAACAGACTGAGTATACATCCTACTGAGCCCCACCCAGCTAGCAATAAGCCTCAAACTTGACAAGCCTTAAGTATTGTTAGAGCCAAGGATGCAATACTGGAACTACAGCAAAGCATGGACATTTCTCAAATAAGATTCAGATCAACTTAATTTGGTTATTTGCATAGGTTGCTTAGAAAACGCGAACCGACTTGAATTTAGTCATCTGTGAGTCAATTCTCCCTATGGCAAACAAAGTGTGCCACACCTGAAGGAGTCAAGGCAGAACCCTTTATAGTGTGCTCTGAAGGAAGCAACAAGAGGCAATGTTTTGAAGCCATGAGATAAAGCAACTTTTCTGGACTAAAAGAGATGTGGGGTCGGCTCTTATTTGGATGGGAAACCACATGTGTGTTTTGCCACACTGAGTCCCATAATAGGTAAAAAATACTCTGTATTTTCAGGGCTTGTTTTGTGGGGATCAAAATTAGACAAGGTGTAAAAATCTCACCTTATGTCTTATTTGTGGGGTAGGGAGATAAGTAAATAAGTAATGATAAAATACAAATGGGAAACAGCTTTAACTCGCAGTAAATAACAGGTTCAAACTAGACACACTTAATAATTTTTGTATCTAGGGCTAAGATTGAAAACCATATTTCATTAGAATGGCACGATAAGGAGGGGGTAAACCTCAAATAGCAAAATGTTCTAGGTTCACTCCATCCTTTCAGAAAACCTTGACACCAGCATATCCATTCCCAAGCAGCTCCCTGAAGCCAACCACTGATAATGTGTCAAATGCCTGTTCTGTGTATTCCTCTAATAAAAGTGGAAAAATGGGTGTGTCTGGGAGCTATTATTTTAATGTTCTACAATGCCCTGGAGTACTAGTATATTAAGCATATTTTTGGCAGTCTAAATCAAGATTTCCAGGCCCAACGATCTGGTGTTGCTACTGCATATATTGGAGAAGATCTCATGGTGCATGGCTATGGAAGACAATAGAGGGCCCATTACCCAGAATCCTTCAGCCCCGGAGGTGGCCTTGGCTGTTATCCTTCTGGCCAAACCCAATCCCAAACTGATAAGATGATTAATATATATATATATATATATCATATATATATATGAGTGCTCTTTACATGGGGCGATTCATATGTGGCTTTTTCTCAACAAGCATCTGGCAGACACTTACCATTTTCCACATATGGATGAAAAGGCAGGACCAATGCCAGGATAACTCTGCCTCTCGTAGGCTCCAGTACACTTCTAATATCTTTTAATACAGTCAATGGCTGATCACAGCGATCAAGCAGATTCAAGCAGCTGATGACATCATACTGGAAGCCTGTATTTTGCCATTCGTTGATGCCGAGTATTCTGCAAAAGTATTTTTAAAAGCACAAGCTTACACTTAGATAATGGCTTATTTGCTTACAGCAATGAGAAGGTGAGGTAACCAAAGAAAGACTTCACCTCATTAAATCTAGTCCATCAACCATAAGAAACTTGACAAAGGAAATGTGATTCTTTCATTTCTTTTTACATTATTAACAGATATAAACACTATTATATCAATTTATATTAATATTGTACATTAATAGTATTAATAATCTCCCCATACTCTACCTATATAGATCTTTAATAAATATTATAATACGTTAATATGTATTTGGTGAGTGGGGGGTCTAGAAATTGGCAAGACACAATTGCACTACAGAGCACAATTGAGAAAAGAGGTTAAATAGATATGAATGGCATCAAAAAGGGCAATACCCCAAAACTAGCATTTCATTTCAACTTTCCTGGATATACCAATATGGGGCTTACAAGTGGCAGTTCTAAACAAACAAAAAATCGAAGGAAGAAAAGAAAGACAGAAAAATGAAAGAGAAAAAGCTGAAGTCATAAATTCCAATCCACTGCACACTACAGCATGCTATGTATGTAAATACCTCAAGCTTCATAATTGTGCATATAATAAAGGAATTTTCATGGAGGAAGTTTTTGAACTGACTTCTGAGACATAGATTTAGCACTTGTACAAATCAATACTAATTGATAATTTTAAAGACTTGGGAGTCATGTATAGCCTCATAAAGTTCTATAAAGATTTATAGCCAAGGCCACAATTTGCGTCTTTTCGTATTTTGCTACATTTTATCACACTCCCACAACTGTTTAATTGCACTTAAAATCTGTGGCTTTAACAAGGAGGAAGCATAGGAAGCCTATGATGCCTTTATATGTGTTATTCAAATAGAAGACTGTGACCTCTTAAAGAAAAGATATTATCTGAGAAATGATTATAGAACATGAATAGCTGGAAAATATTGCACTGTACATAACAAGCACTTACAAATGTATGTCTATTTCAATAAACAAACAAATAATAATAATAAGTGGCTTTAATATTACTTCATCGCTTCATCAAACGAAGTGGCTTGACATCTATGAAAACTCATGCCAAAATATACATTATTAGTCTGAAAAGTACTATTAGATTTCATTTAACCTTTACCCCTATTTTACTATGGCAGGGAAGATAATTTCTGGATTGTGGAGATACCACAACCTAAAGATGCCTCAAATCTGTCCCACCGAAAGACAGATAGCAATTCTTCTCCTCTCTGCAAACTCTCTGACTATTATTGTGCAGCTACAAACAAAACACTCAATGGGACAGCAGAAAAAGTGGAAGGAAGAACAGGTTTCAAAACCTCAAGAGTGAAGAGAACCCTATGGGCAAATCATTGCCTGAATTTGGACACTGGAGATTCCTCCTTGACAAATATTAGTTGAGCAAAGGCTCAAAAGGCAATCTGACTTCCTCAACGACAACCTATGGGTTTGCTCCATCATTTCTGACTTGCTGTTGCCTAACTGCTTTCCTTTGAGCAAGCACAAGGAACACCAACTCTTGTCAATCCAAAAAAGGATGGGTTGCTGTGAGTTTTCTGGGCTGTATTGCCATGTTCCAGAAGTATTTTCTCCTGATGTTTCGCCCAGAGATCTTGGCAAAATGTCAGGAGATAATACTTCTGGAACACAGCCATACAGCCTGGGAAACTCAAAGCAACCCAGTGATACCAGCCATGAAAGCCTTTGACAACATATCAAAAAAAGGATATTTTGTAGATATTTATTTATTTATTTCCTATATTTATACCCTGTCCTTCTCACCCCGAAGGGGGAC